CCCCCGCCCCGTCGGCGAGGGGTGCACGGGGCTGTTTCACAGCTTTGCCATCGCCCCCTGCCCCCCCCCCTCCAAACGACCAGTTCCCGCCTCCCCCCTTGCCCCGCAGTGCCGGGGGCACGTTGCCGCCTGTAATTTATCAGCCTCATCAGCGGAGCCGCTCTCCCTGATAGCTGCCCTGATGCTTTTCTGCCAAGATTAATGATGTCCCAGCAGAGGTAGGCGGGAGGCCGCCGGCTGCTTTGGTCACCATTAACTGACACCCGGGGACTTCGGCCAGGACCGTGTGCTCCCCGCAGCCCTTCGCCGCCTCCCAGCCCAGCCGCAGCCTTTCCCTCCCCGCCGGGGCCCGGTCCGACCCGATTTTCCAGCTGGGTGGAAAGGAGGCGTGCGAGATCGGCTCATGAGTCAATGCTGTGGCCATGATGCGAAGCTGGAGACAGAGAGGGATGGAGGCACGGGGAGGGCATCCCAGAGCTGGAGAGGGATGGAGGCACGGGGAGGGCATCCCAGAGCTGGAGAGGGATGGAGACACGGGGAGGGCATCCCAGAGCTGGAGAGGGAAGGAGACACGGGGAGGGCATCCAGCTGGGCTTATCCCTGGTTCCCAAAGGAGTCCCCGCTTTCCAGAGGCAACATTTCTGGGAGGTGAAAGTCCATTCCCAGGTGTAAAATGCCTTTCCGGGGCAGGAGAAGGTTTGAGGATGCTGGGGAGCATCTCCCCATGCTCACTGGAGCTGGTGGGCATCTGGCACTGGGGCATGGTGGGGTGGAAGCAGGAGATACAGCACTGCCCGGCAGGTGCAATTAAGCCTCAAGATCTTGTGCTAATTAAAGTTACCCCCTCAAAGGAAAGGAAGGAGGTGGAAAACAAACGTTCTCCGTCCTCCCGCAGACTGCAGATGGGCGAAAAGGTCCCCAGCGCCGCCGTGGCACCCCACCGTGGCCGGGGTTCCCTGAATTCCCCCGGCCGAGGGAGTTTCCTGCGGCTTGCTGCAGCGGGCAGCAGAGCCCGACCGCCGGGTGGAGAGCTCGCGGCGGGTGCCAGCGCCTGGGGACGCGACGGGTGGCTTTGACATTTTGCAGACCACAAACTATTATCTTGCATCTCACCAAAGTACAAACACGGCTTGTAACCCTCCTGGCTTGGGAGGGAAGCGGGGCGAGCAGGGGGGAAGGGCTTTGTGCCACCTGACGGTGCCCCTACAGCCTCAGGGACACCCCAAGGGTCTCCATCTTCGGTCCCCAGTGGGGACAGAGCCGGTGCCCAGCAACAATTTAGTTGCAAAGCTGCAGCACAGCCAAAAAGTGGAGTGAATCAAACTCCAGTGGAGAAACGGGGGCTCCAAGAGAGTTCTTTTCCCCGAGGTCACCCAGCGAGAGAGACGGCTGGTGCTGGGATTGATCAGAAACGCTCGCGGAGAAGGATCAGGCTGGGTTTGTTGGGTTTTTTTTGTTTTTTTTTTTTTTTTTTTCCTGATGAAACAAGTCTTTTTGCTCAAGAGCCACCCTGGAGAAACACCTCTGCCGTAAACAACTGATTTCACCATTGCCACCAGCGCCGGGCTCGGTGGAGGGGGGGAGGCAAGCGGGGGTGCTGCGGCCCTCCTCCTGCTCCGCCACTGCCAGCCCGTGCGCCCTTGGGCATGGCACCCGACCCGCTGCCCGCCGGTGCCCTCGCAGCCAGGACATCCCCAGGGCAGGGTGGGCACCGGAGCCACCGCCACCGCTGAGCCACCCTTCGAGCTGCCGGCATCGCAAAGCCCGGCGTGGGGGAGAAGAAGCACAGATGTATTTTCCACCCGCGCCGCTGCCCCTCGCTTTTGAATTTCCCAGGGATTTGCACCAGGACTGGCTCTTTCCCGAGGAGAAGGGACGGGCAGGACCTGGTTTAGTGCCCTCTTCTGGAGGCTGCGGCCTCTCGGCTCTTCCGCCGAGCTCCTGCCATCCCGCCTGGCACACACCGCCTTCCCCAGTTCGGCCCCGTTTGGCCCAGGACCTTTCCCGGTTTGGCCACCGAAGCGCAGCCCGTGGCTGTGCCTGGGCGGAGGATGAAGGAGGGAGCTGCTCCGAGAGCTGAGCGGTGAGAGAAAGGCTCTCGTGGGGCTCCATGTTCGTCCCAAGTGGGCTCGACCAGGGGACAAGCCACCAGAGGGAGGGATGGATGGTACGGTGCTGGTGATGCACGGCGCAGGGATGCAGCGCTGGATGCTCCCGGAGGCTGGAACTGGTGCTCCGGTCAGGACATCTCTCCCTCTCCGGGCTTAGCACCTAGTGATGATGGTTGCCACCATCTTTGGTGGAGACGGAGATATCGCCGCCACCAGATGTAGGACAAAATAAAAGCAACAAGAAAGGGATGGTTTAAGGCCGAGCAAGGTGGGAAACCCCGAGCAAGGATGCAAGCTGTGCCTGCAGCATCGCCGGGCGAATCCGCACCTCCTCTACCACAGGAGAGGACCAAACCAGAGGTGCGAAGGAGCCGGCTGAGTTTCTCAGCGGTACGCCGGCCGCAGGGTCGGGCCCTCCTTCTTTCCATGTGCCGCCAAAGGCGTTTGGTCCTCTCCCCCGTGTGCTGCCTTCGCACCCCGGGGCCAGACCCCATTGCTCCGCCACGCAGGGCTGGATGTGCCGGCGGTTCGATCGGTGTTCGTCCCACCGCGGTCCCCGGGGATGAGTTTATTCAAAACCCTGGAGACGCCAAAATCGCATCCTTTGGCTGCTTTTAGGGCTCACGCCCTGCTCGCCGGCCGCTCTGGGAATTAAAGAGATGGATGGGCTCAATCCAGCAGCGCCCGCTGGACAGGCCGAGGCTGTGGTGCGGCGGTGAGATGGTTAAAAATAACCTTCAACCGACTACTGAAATAACAGCCTCCGCCGAGACGGCCGCAGCTGCCTGACGAACGGCGATGCTCAGGCATCAGATGTTGCGGGGAAAATATCCGCTGCTGTTTTAATGGGTCTTTCCCTGGGAGCCCGGGAAGGGCTGAGAAACTTGAGGATGGGATGGAGAGGGCACGTGGTGGGGAGCACCCGGTCACCCTGCGCCTCAGGGGACGGGGGGACCGGGTTGAGGGATCATCCGCAGGACACGTGGGTCTGGTGGCTGAACCCCTTTGGGGATGAAATTCGGGCGCTGGAGCCGCGCATCCTGCTAATGAGAGGATTTATCTGGAAAAAGGTGTCGCAGCTTCCTTTCCCAGCCCCGGGATGCTGCGATGGGGACACGGGTGTGTGGCCCCGGGTGACAGCAGCGGAGCCCCCTCCTCCGACCGCGCTGGGGATGAGGGGCCGGGAAAGTGCCCCACTCCTCTGGTAAGGGGGTGGCTTCAATACATGTCATTAAGAAGCAGAGCTAATGAGCCAGAAAGCAAACCGAAGGGCAGAAATAACTCGCAGAGAAACTCGCAGCAGCAGCCCGCTCCGGCCACGGGAGAAACATCACGGCCCCGCACCGGGGGT